ACTGCATAAATATTGGACTACATTTTGTGCAATAAAAAACTATAATCATATCAAATAAATAACAATTCTTCGAGTAGAATAACTTCATAACCAAAATGTATAATATCAATGAAAAAAATTCAGTGAAGGGTCCATGGAAGAGATGTCGCAATTCAGAAAATGTCTTGCAAGAAGTCTTTTAAGATATAAAAATGTAATCATGATCAATTTAAAACATTGCTGATTATAATCTTTGCATATTTCAGCATTAATCTATCAAAACTGAATCTATGTCTTCATATTTGTATAAGCTACAAGCAGATGTATAGCCCTAATAACTTTTTTTGCTGTTTTACTGTAGACTCAATTTGATTCCACTTAGAGGGGCTGCAAAGAAGTACGGCATCCTTGAATCAACCCTCTGACACAACCTATCAAGATGTCATGATATGAATGCTAAACCTGGACCAAAAACCCTTCTAAGTGATGCAGGAGAACATTCAACGTTCAGATACTGGGTGCAGAAGTCCGATACATGTAGCAGAATTTCCCGTTCCACGCACTCTGGCACATACAGCCTTACCCCAGAGACCAAGCAGTTTGTTATGACATGTGTGCATGTGACCTGTTGCGATGGGGTTAAATAAGTGGGCACATCAGATTACAAATACAAAACTACATAATGTTGGAAAAGCCATCTTGCAGAATGAAGAAAGCCATGGAAGTTCAAGAAAATTTCACCCTTCATTCATAGAAACAGAACCAAATAATAATGGTGGTCTCTTTACCAAAAAATACATTGTGACCTGACATTCCGCACATCAGAATCATTAACATCAAGCTAAGAAGAACATCAGTGTTGCAGTTATCAAATCATTGTTTCCACTCTCACCTATTCAAAGAAAATTTATGCTAACAATGCTCTAGAGAATCCTATTCAAATTTCAAATTGTTACAACTGGATTTTGCTTATCACCATCAATAAGAAAAGTATGAGAACTAAAAGAAGAAAAGATGTAATCATGGAATACTCTCTTTAGTACAAGACCAACATAACAGCATTGGGTTGCATTTATGCAGATGGTTCCATGCTCATCTATCCACACAAGAGGATAAATCCAATGATAGCCAAGAAATTTCCCTATGGCTACAGCTCTACTATAGGAAAGTGTGAAAAGATACATTATATATGAGACTCTTTTAAAAATATTTTGACAATGATTTCAATGATTAGTTCACAGAACACAAAATCTAAGGACCAGTCACTGTATGGACTGTCTGGCACTATACCAGGTAGAAATACTTCCTTGCAAAGACTAAATGAACTGAACATAATTTTGTATGGGCTCCCTCCAAACAGCGCACATTTCATGCAGCCTCTTGTGTCGGTGCTTGACCCACTGAAAATAGGCTGGGCTTGGTCTATAAAGGAATGGGAAACTGAACACAACCAAATTGTTACACATACAACCTTTGCACAAATGAATGAAGCAAACTTTGCTAATTTCTAATTATCCTTCAATAACCCCCCTTATATGGATGAAGGATCATCATGTCATGAAAAAAGTTGGCTTGAAAGGCAGATGATATGAACATGCCATCATGGGAAAATCTGGCTGTGGGTCTGGGTGACACAAACTTTTGGCTGAAGGTCGGAGTGAGGGGAAAGACTTGCCACAAATGCACAAACCTCTTGGAGGGTGATTAGACTCATCTGGTATTTAGAAAGGGGCTTTTGTATTATTTTCATCGATAAAAGAATGTGGACTGTGGTGTCTGTTAGCCATGACTGAAAGCGTGCCAGCTCAAGGGAGGACACTATCTCCATGCTCAGCATCCTATTCCACACCACCATGACAAGCAAGTTGTATTACATATTACAAAAAAATATTTTAAAATGACACAAATAACAAAATATTACTTATTATTATTCTTGCACTGAGATATGACTACCTAGAGAGATGATATGGAGTCTGTGGAAGGAAAACAGTCTGCTGCCATATGGACAAAGCAAATCAAATGACAAATATGTACATTGGAAAAATGTGTCCTAATTGGCAAGTTTACCCTAAGTGTAAGGCGAGAATGCTGCTGTCAGTGTTTAAGTCTGGGGTAGTTATAACTCAATTATTCAACACAAAAGCCAGTGTTGCAAGCAAAAAATATAGATATATAAAACATGACAAATAATTATGATGATAATAAAAACTGATATTCCTTGAAACAGGATATAATGAAAATTGGTAGGATAATTTAATTCCATATATAAACAAGATGATGTACAGCCGAGGTTAAAAACATGTTCAAACAGTATTGAGAAGGGAAAAGGATACCTTATTTACTTAATGAAGAAACACTTCACTGATACTTCAGATGAGAGATAAATAGTAAATCAAATATACAAACAATAAATATTATTAACTGCATTAACTGTCTAAGAGAATTGCAAAATCTAAAATGCATAAGTACCCATAAAACCTTCATAGCATACAAGATTCTATTCATTATTCTCAGAACTAGT